GGTCCTTCTGCATTAGCAGAAGCCGCTGGGGTCACTCGCAGTGGAACTCCACTCCACTCCCACGCTCGAGGTGGCTGGCACCGTCTCTCCATGTGGGTTCTGTGGCCCAGCTTGAGTTTTTTTTGACACTGGCAGTGAGAATCCCAAACAGACCCCGAATGGAAGCTTCCAGGCCCCTCGAGGGGTGAGACTGAAAGTCCTAACACACACTGTTGCTCTATACCGAGAGCAGAGCCAGCAACAGCCCAGCTGAGATTCGAGAGGAGGGGAGGGGCAGCCACATCTTGATGAGAGGTGCCCTCTACATGCCCAGCCAGGTGGAATTGCTAGAGGCCAGCCTGGAGCAGGGAGTATCTTGTTGTGTTTGATGGTAGGAGGTGAGGTCAGGGGATAGCACAGGTGGGGTGGAGGTCACAGGTCATTTTAGGACTTTAGCGTGTATCACGGGGAGTCGGGAGTCACTGCGGGCTTAGAACAGAGGAAAGGAGAGCCGATCGAGGATTTACTGAGATGGCTCTGGCTGCCATGGGCAGAAGAGATGGGGCTTTGGGGGGACCCTGCAAAAGGGGTACTACAGTCATCCAGGTGAGAGACAGGGTGGCGGCCTGGTGTTCCACAGAACACCTCGTTCGAAAGGGGATACACGTTTCTCTACGTGTTCCTGAAACGTCTGCAGGATGGCTCCGTGACGAGGTCTCCCTGTTCTCACGGCTGCTGAAGCCGGGCTGTCTGGGGCAGGGGAAGTGGAGCCTGAACCCAACCAGGCATCCAGCCCCGGCCCTGGGAGTGGCTGGGAGGGGTGTTCTCAGGGCCCCGGTTACCCTGCCCAGAAACCACTGCTCCCTCCCGGATTCCACCTCAGACTCTGGCCCAGCACCCACCTCCTTCCACGTCTCCTGCCTCAACCTCCCGCTGCCGCTGCTCCACACACACTTCACCCTGATCCCCAACGCCTCAGCACACCTGCCTCTCTCTTCTCCAGCCTCTGGGAAGAGACCAGCTCAGACACCACCCCCTCCAGAGATGGCCGTCTGGTGTCTCCGCAGATGCCCACGATGCCTCCTTCAGTGTCCCCTGCAGGCCTGGACTGGGTCTGTGGTTTCCGTCAGCTAGCTCCACCCCACCAGGGACCCCACAGAGAAGGAGTACCCCAAGATGTCCGATGATCTAAACAGACTCAATCCCCAAGCTCTCCTGCCCAGCCCACTACCCCTATTCCTCTCTGGCGCCACACCACATCCTCCCACTGCCCTGGCCTGATGGAGTTGGACAGGCCTCCCGGGACTACGCCCAGCCCAGAGGCTCCGGGAAATACTCCTAGGGGCCTGGGCAGCCACCACCGCCCCCCTCCACCCCTTCAGGAGGGATGCAGGGAGGGAGGGGAGGGGAGGCGGTGCTGGGAGGAGCAGGACAAGCCGAGATGATTCATGGGACATTCTTCTCGGGGGAGGAACCAGCACGAAAAATGATAGTCAAGGGCAACCCATTCTGCACGCACACCCCTGACCTCCCAGTTAACCCAGGCCTGCGTCACCCATGAGTGAGGGGTTTCCGGGAGGCTGGGCCTGGAATGTCCGAGCCGACAGGCGCTTGGAGATCTTCCAGGGGGAGGACTCGTTTTATGGAGGGGAAACTGAGGCTGGGGTACCCGGCAGAGTTCACATTGTTGTTTCCCACCTCACTGTGTGACATCCCAAGGGGTTCGAGACATGGGGGGGGCGGCTCCCTGCGTCTCTAGCTGCACATGAGGAAGGCCATCCACGAAGCTGGCCAAGGTGTTTCTGGGGGAGGGGGTGGGGGAAGACCAGGACCAGCCAGCCCAGGAGAACCCAGTTATCAGGACCCTCTCTCATGGTGGGGGTCACATCTGGGCCGAGGGCGGTTTCTGGACTGGGTCCCTAGGCCTGGTGTTCTGCTTAGTGGTGGGGACAGAAACCCTGCCCACCCTGTGTCTGCCCCTTCTGGCTGGGCAGAGTGAACAGAAGGCATGGGCATGTTCCTTGGCTCCTGTTTAAGTCATGGGCAATGAGGCCTGCCCATGTCCCTCCACAGCAGGCTGGGCAGCTTCCTTGGCAGGGGCTGCTGGAGGCAGGTTTTCAGCTGGGGCAGCGACAGGAGGGGTCTCTGTGGAGTCCAGTGAGGCGGTGGGCTCAGCAGTCAGGAGCTCCACTGCCCAGCTGTGTGGCCAAGAGCAGGCTGGCGCTGCCCCCCCTAGGCTCCAGCTTCCTGATGGTGGGTGGCAGGAGAGATGGGTCTCAAGGGGCTGAGTCCCCAGCCTGGGGGAGGATTGGGGCTCCTGACGGGGCAGCAGTGAATGGTCCAAACAGTGTGGTCTTCCATGTTACGGAGCTGTGGTGGTGGTGATGTGGGCGTGAGCTGCTCACCATGAGCTCAGCGGTTTGAACCCACCATGGGGAAAAGGTACGGCTGTCTATTCAAGATGTAAAGTCTCAGAAATTCACATGGGCAGTTCTACCCTGCCCGCTAAGGGACCAACTTGATAGGGAGACCTAGGTTTATTTGGGTGGTCTTCCACATTTGACCCTGCCACAGGGTGAGTTGTCTATCTGTTGAAGTTCTAACCTATGAGTTTGACCTTGCTTGGAAAGTGTCTCTGTAAATGAGGTCAAACTGCAGTTGAGTGAGCCCTAAACTAATATAAATGGAGTCCCCATGGGTGGTGCCAGCTTATGGGATGCCCCCCTCACACCATGGGAGTTGGGGTGCACTACCTCTGTAGGTAATGAGTGACACCAACCCTAGTGATGCCAGTTGCTTGGTGGCCTCTCTCCCTAGTCACCACCACCCCACCTCCACCGCCACCACCACCTCCACCTCCTCCTCCACCATGAACCCAGGGGTCATTTTGTTGTCTTTATCTCTGACAGTGTCAGGGAGTGCAGTCTATCACCCCACCCCCCAGCCCACGTGACACCTCGGGAAACAGGGAAGGACATTGAAGCTCTGGAAGGTTGTGAGCAGGGGTGGAAAGTGACAACGTTTATAACAGGCTCCCTCTGCATGCGCGAGAAGAATGGGTATGGGGGATGTGTCTGGAACAGAAGTGGGGAGATCAGGGAGAGGCAGCTGCTGACCTCCTATGAGAGACCAAGGTGGTTGGCCTGGGGCTTGGGAGACCTGGAGGAGGGGCCGTGAGTGCGGAGGGGGCTGGGAGGGCTTGGGCCCTGCTGCCTGGCCCCGGCTTCCCTCTGGGTTTCTGCACAGTGACCGGCTGAGTCATCTTGGATTTATCGGGGGCCCCCCCCACCCCCCCAGCCCTTGCTCCTTTGCCTCTTTGACAATGAACTTGTTTTGAATACCTCAGCCATGATGTTACGGATCAATGGCCTTCAAGGCACACACCCACACTGAGTCCTGGAGAAAATGGGCAAAGACAAGTGTCTCCAGGGCCCTCAGCCCCACTGAGCCTGGTTCTGCTCCACAGGAGCTGGCAGAGGTCTGAGGTCTGGCTGGCAGGCCGCTCAGCAGGGCTCTGGGGTCCTCAGCACAGGCACTGCACCCCCGTCCCAACCCCGGCCTGGAGCCGGTGCATTTCCTTTTGGAAGAATCCTCCCCCACCCCATTGACTAATGTTCCTGTGGATCTGCTTGGGGGGAGGTGGAGGTACCCACTCCTGGGGTGCTTTGTAGGGAAACGCAGACCTCCCTCTGCTTCCTCACACCTCAGGGGTCCCCCACCTCTCCCAGGACCCCCATTCGGCATTCACACATCCCCCCATGTGAAACCATGCCAGAGCGGAGACAACTCCGTCCCCTGGTCTCCCAGGATCCATCCTCTGCACCAGGCCCCTGGTCCCACCTCTTCCCCCCACGCTGCCACCGGCTGCTATGGCTCTAGTCCAAGTCCAGGGACGGCTGAGGGGCAGCCCTGGGCTGGTGGTAGGGCCAGACTCCACGGTGACAACTCCACGCCCCTCCCGGCCCCCTCAGGACCAATACCAGGTAGCACTCAGAGCACGTTTATTCAACCCAATGATGGGGGTGGCCTCCTGGTCACCCTGCTGGGAGGGCTCATGGCCAGCCCTGGGGGCTGAAGCGGGGCCCAGGGGCTGAGCCTGGAACTCAGTTCAGCTCTTTCTCCAGAACAGTGACCCTACAGCACAGGGTGGAACTTTCTCCTACCAAGTGGCTGGTGGTTCTGAACGGGGGATCCCGTGTAACCCACCTTGCCACTCGGTCTCCCCCACTGAAAAACGGTTGTGGCTTTGAGTGTGGACACCGCAGGGGTGTCGGTCATGGTGAGGACCCCTGAGCTCTCTAGGACCCTCGAGTGGCCCCCCAGTAGGGCCACTTCGACTGGGCGCGGCACTAGCCAACTCGCAGTGTCGGGTGGGCGTCTGCAGCGGCGCGCTGGCGCGCCCGTGTGGCCATAATGGGAAAAGCAGCCTCCTCCCAGAGCCCCAGCTGGGGAGACCAGCCATAGGGTATCCACCGGTCCCACCTCCCCGCAGTAACAGGGGACTCAGAACACGTGGTCATCTGTGGCCCCGAGGTCAGGAGCTGCTGGGCCCGTCTGTAGCCCTGGGGCCTCACACTGAACGTGCGCACAGCCAGCTCTCAATAACGATGGTGGAGCGGCAGACCAGCGTGAGTGCGTGCGTATGGAATCGGTGACTGAGTATTCCTAGGATCAGCCACACCGCCAGACCTCTGTTCCCAGGAAATTCCCGCTCAGGCACCAGGCCTGATTCTAACCCCAGCCTCTGGTGGCTGGGACGGGGCAGAGGGAGAGAGGGAGGCTCAAGCCTCAGGTGGCCTCCCTGGTCACAGACCGCACCCTCCCCCACAGGAGGGCAGGCAGAAGAGGGTGGGGCCTGGGGTGAGTGCTGATGGAGGGCAGTTTCAGCTGGGGCTGGGGGCAGCGCGAGGTGGGTAAAGGCAAGGATCCCAGGCTGGCAGGGCAGGGGCTGGAGATGAACCCTGCACCCCATCCCCTCCCCCACCCCACCCCACCTCCCCCTGCTCAATCACATAGCCTGGCTAGGGGCTGGGGGGCTGGGCCGGGGTCCCTGCCAGGCTCTCAGCCTACGGGCAGCGTGGTGGCCTCGCTGGGCGGGATGTGGTGGGTCGTGTAGCGCTTCCCTATGAAGGAGCCGATCCTCAGCTGCTCCGGGGTTGGCAGCTCCTCAGGCAACCAGAGACTGGAGCTGTGGTGGGAAGGGCCTCGCTGAGTCCCTGCAGCCGCCCCCACCCCCATCACCACCCCACTGCCATCGCCATGCCCCACAGATCCATTCCACAACCCGAGAATGGCTGCCTCCTCCAGGGGACCCCCTGACTAGCCTGGTCACGTCAGGGCCACCACAGAGAGAAGGACTGAACTAGGGACACACTGGGGGACAGGTGACTGAGGTCCTTTCCGGAAGCCAGTCCCCAGAGGAGCGGTGGGGGCCATCCTCCTGCGTCCCCTGGAGACCTTACTTCACTGGGAACCTTGACTGGGTGGGGTGGGGGGTGTCTAAAGGGGAGGGAGGAGAGAGAAGGGGGTCTGCAGGAGTCTGGGGGCCCAGGCCACTCACAAGCGCATGGTGGAGGCGGCCAGAAAGGCCAGGAGCAGGAGGCCGGCCAGAGAGGAGAGGACGGAGGTGATGACAATCATGCCCCCACTTCGCCGCCCTGGCCACGTGTCGATGGAGCTCGGGGCCCTCCCTGCACACACAGCGATGTTCAGAGGCTGTCACCACCTCCCCTAACGCTCGCACCCCAAGGCCTGGCTGCCCAGACAGCCTCCGGAGGGGTTGGGGGGGCCCACGGGGGGCCCACCCACCAATCTAGTTCAGCCTGGCCTCAGCGGCCGGCACCTGGTCACAGAGCTCGGGCTGTGCCCCCCACCAAGCCTGGGCCATAGAAGCAGATGACTGCAGGACTCGGGACTGATCCTGGATTCCGGACCTGCAGGGGCCTCCCGGGCCCTACCTCTGACGCCCTTTGGGGTGCAGTTTAGGGAAGCCTCCCTCCGCCTTCTTCAGGGTTGCCCCTCCCCTCCCCTCCCCCAGGTCGTTAGCTCCTAGGGCAAGGGAGGCTGGGGCAGCGGGTGAGAGGCCCTGGGAACCGCCCCCAGCTCCCCAGCCTCACGGGAGCCGGGCAGAGAGGTCAGTGCGCTTGTCCATTTTGCAGAAGGCGACAAGCTGGCCGACGAGAGCCGGTCAGGATCCCCCAGCCCGCCCCTACCTCGGAGGAGAGTGATGGGGTCTGACCACCTGGTCTCGGCCCTGGGAGCGCCCCTGGCGTCCAGCAGGAGGAACTTCACCCTAGGAGAGGAGGGCGGGGAGAGCAGGGGAGAAGGGGCGGGGACACTCCTTAGATGCCTCGGCCGACAGGTGTTCCCTCCCTCGGGCGGACCCCGGACTTCTGCACCCGGCCTCCGGCCCAGTCCGCGGTGGCGGCTCTCCCCGCAGGGTGGCTGCCAGCCAAGGCCCGGCCCTGCATCCCGCTCTCTGGCCCGGGGACCTCTGCCAGCCGTCCCATCCCTCTGAGCTGTCGATGTTCCGATCTGGGCCAGAGATTCTGGGTCATAAGCAATCTCCCAAGAGCAGGGCTGGAGAGCGGGCCGGTGGGTGGGGTGGGGGGAGAGGCAGGGTGAGCCCGGAGCTGGGCAGAGAATCGCCCATTTTATCTTTGTGCAGAGTGGGAGTTTTCTGGAAAGCCTCTGGGCCACAAGGGACCCCGCAGGTGGATTCTGAGAGAAGTAGCTCTGATGGCTTCTAGAGCTGAGGGCACGGGGTCTCGGGGAGACGCAGAGACCCGGTGGGTGAGAGGGCAGAGAGAACCAGGTCCAGGGTGCTGCAGCCGTGGGCAAACTTCCGCTTCCGGCTTCTGGCCCCGCCCTGTCCTCCCTCCTCCCACTCCTCCCAGCTGCGCTGGGTCCCTGGCTTTCCCATACACGATTAAAAAAAAAAAATCATTCTCCATACACCCTTAATCTGGACATACCATTTGGCAGTGCGCCCCGCAGTTTGTCTCCAAAATGAGTGGAAGCCAACGCTCCTGTCCCCCCACTTCCTTCTCCCCACCTGGCTAAGCCCCCAGCCTCAGCTTCCTGCCAGATTTCCGGTGGGAGGCACCGGTGGGGCATCTTGGGGCTGGGCACTCCCTGGGGCCCTCCCTTTGGGTCTGGAACAAGGCTAGCACCTGCCAGCCCTGCACTGGGAGGAGGGGGTGACCAATATGTGCAAACAGGAAAGGGGGTTGCAGGGGTTGGACAAAGGCCTAGCTCTAAGTAAGGGGTGGTAGAAGTCAGTGTGCGGTTCCAAGCAGAACCCTGACCCCAGCCACAAGGTGTGGTGGCTCACCTGTAAGGCCCAGGGCTGGGCAGGGGGCCATTGCAGTAGGTCAGCTGGCGGTCAGCAAGGCAGCGAGCATTGTTGCCCACCCGCAGGAGGGGGATGCTGCTGCCACCACCAGCAGGGTCTGTGCAGGGCAGCTGCATCGGGGACAGGGGCAGCGTCATATAATGGCCACTGGTCAGTAGCTCAGGGAAGGCAGGGATCTCAGCCAGTGTCTTGGGGTTCTGGAAGTCTCTGGAGGCTGCAGGGTGGACAGAGACAGACACACCCATGTGTGTGGAGAGACAAGTCTGCATTGTGCTGTCCTATCCTCCCCTGCCTTCCAATAGTCCCTTGGTGGCCCGGCAGGCCACCCCTCTCCGGCAGGACCCAGAGGCACCATCTGGACACCAATCAGACTGTGTCCCTCTCTGACAGCCCCGTCTGGATGGAGCCCCTGCCCCACCCCGCTCCCCACCCAGGCTGTTTGCCTTGCCCTGCATTCCAGGTACTCAGTGGCTCTTTCTCCAAGCCCTGGTGGTGTAGTGGTGATGCGTTGGGCTGCGAACGACAAGGTTAGCAGTTCAAAACCACCAGCCACTCCTCAGGAGAAAGACGAGGCTTTCTACTCCCATAAGCAGGTACAGTCTCCGTAACTCACAGGGGCAGTTCTACCCTGTCCTAAAGGGTCACTAGGCGACAGCCTCGACTCAATGGCAGTGACAGTGAGTTTGAGTAGCTCCTCCAGCCCAGAAAGCCCCTGCTCACACTCAGTCCCAGCTTCGTTCCCGCTCCAGCATCCCCGCATCCCCTCACTGTCCCCTCCCATGGCCAAAGCACAGCAGGCATTTTGGGTACCCGGGCACTCACACGGGAGAAAGACAGGGCTTTCCACCCCTGTGAAGAGTGACAGCCTCGGAAACTCACAGGGGCGGGTCCGCCCTGTCACTCGGAATTGCTCTGGCCGGAGGTGTTTTTGAGCACATTCACACTCGCGCAGCCCTGGCAAGAACTGGTGAGGGCCTGGGCATCCAGGTCCCACTCTCCGGCCTTGGCCCTCCCCTCCAGCCCCGGCCCACCACGCACCATTGCTGAAGGCCACCACCAGCCAGACGGTGTCAGTGGCCTGGGCGTGCCCGTCGAGGACGCAGCGCGGCTGCTCCAGGGAGAAGGTGCTGGCAGTGACCTTCCCTTCCAGGTCCCAGGCCGTTATCTGAGGCGTGTAGGGGATCAAGTCTGGGGGCCAAGGGTAGGCGGTGGTGACCACGCAGAGGAATGCGGGGCCACCGGGAGGAATGGGCACTGCCTCTCCCAATAATGGGTGGGTTAGTGTTAGGCCCCGGCCAGCCCCCCACCACAGGACCCCACTCACCCAGGCTCCTGCTGGGCCAGAGCCAGCTCAACACCAGGAGCAGCAGCCAGGGGCGCAGCTGCCTCTGGGGGATCCCCATGGCGCCAGCCAGCGCCCAGCTACCTTGCATATCCACAGGTGAGCAGGGACAGCCTCCTGGCCACCCTACCCCCACCCCAGAAGAGCTGGTTAGTCTGGCTGCCAAGCTGGGGGGTGGGGGGGGGTTTGAAAAGACGTATAGCTGCAAATACCCAGCTCCCCTCAGCAGTCCAGCCAGTCACTGGGAGCAGGCGTGGCCAGGGCTCTGTGATACCAGGCCCCACCCGCGTCAGGCCTCACCACCCCAGCTGAACGCTCCAGAGTAAATATCTGGACCAGGCCAGGGAGGAGGGGCTGACCTCAGGGAAACAGAGGTGGAGGCTAGTGGAGGCTGCTTCGAGCCTGAGATTCCTGAGCCCCGGGTGCCAGGAACCACCCGCAGCTGCCTATTCCCACCCGGTGTGTGGGAGCAGGGTGTGGTGGGATGGAGGGGCCGGGGAACAGGGCAGGCCCAAACAACCCAGCCCCATCTCTAGTCTCCAGGCCACCCCTCACCCCTCATGGCCAGCATGGGCTCCTCTGTTCCTTTGTCCACTGGACTCAGACCTAGGCCCCTTGGCCTCTGGCAGACCTTCTACCTACGTTACTCCTTGTCTGTGCATGTTTTATCAAGGAGCCTTAGTGGCAGCGTGGTTGCATGTTGGGCTGCTAACCTCAAGGTTCATAGTTCAAACCCACAAGCTAGGCCGAGGGAAAAATGAGGCTTTCTACTTCCATACTCAGTGAAGTCTCGGAAACCCACAGGGACAGTTCTACCTTGTTCTATAGGATTGCTGTGAGTTGGAATCGACCGGATGCTAGAATTGGAGTTAGAATTTCCGTATCATAAAATACCCTTTCACAGGGAATGAGTCCGTGGAAGGGGTGCCATCCTCCATCCATCAAAATCATATAATTCCACATCATTCTCATCATCCCAAAGAAACTCTGTAACTACTGTGTCCCAACCTCTGACCACTGTGAGCCTGCTTTCCTGTCCCTGGAGATCGGTTATTCTGGTCGGTGTACATATAGCCAGTCCCTGGGGCTTGAAGAAAAATTTGAAGGTAAGTCAGAACAGTTGCTTATGCTTATTTAGCTTGACCTTAGAGCAGAGGAATCCTGGTAACACAGCGGTTATACATGGGGCTGGTAACCACAGTTCAGCAGTTTCAAACCCACCAGCCACTCTGAAGGTAAAAGAGGAGGCTTTCTATTCCCCCAAAGAGTTACAGCCTCAGAAACCCACAGGGGCGGTTCGACACTGTCCCATAGGGTCGCGATGAGTTGGAATTGACTCGATGGCAGTGAGGTTTTTGTAGTGGGCAGTCTGCTCCCATCAAGAGATACGGGAAAAGGGGGTCCTCCTCCCGGAAGTGTTGAAAAGCAAGGATGTCGCTTGGGCCTGACCCAAGCCACGCTTTTTTCAACCGCCTCGTCTGCATGTGAAAGTTGGACATTGAATAAGGAAGACTGCAGAAAAACTCGACGCATTTGAACTATGGTGTAGGCGAGGAACATTCAGAGACGAAGAGGACAAACAAGCTCCTTCTGGCAGTACAGCCAGCATGCGCCTTAGAGGCACGGATCGAGAGACGTGGTCTCCTGTCCTGTGGACATGTGGTCAGGGCATCATGGTTGGGAAAGCTGTGGGGCAGTGGACACGAGGAAGGCCCTGGACACGGTGGCGGGGCACCGTGGCGGCCACCACGGGCTGAAACGTAGCCATTGTGAGGATGGTGCCGGACTGGGCCGTGTTGTGTCCTGTTGCATCCAGGGTTGCTGTGAGTCAGAACTGACCCCACGGCCCCGCACCACAACACAGGGTCCTCATGAGTCGGCACCGACCGGCAGGTGGCGGGTTTGGTTGCGTGCAAGAGCGGCCCTGGTGACATCATGGGAGCCACCTTCGGTTGCTTATCAGATCAGCAGTTCAAACACACCTGTCTCTCCGAAGGCAAAAGAGGCTGCCTCCTCCTGGAAAGACTGTTTGGAATGCGAGGGCTCGGTTCTGTTCCATCCTACAGGATCGCCGTTGGGTCCGTCTGGACTCGCTGGCAGTGTCAGACAAGGCTGGAGGCCCGTGCCCGAGCCGGCCGCATGTGCAGGAAGTGAAGGGGATTGTGATGGACTTGCGAGTTTCACTGGGTTGGCTTCTCCCGAGGACCCAGCCCGAGACAACAGTACGGATGGGCAGTCTCCTTCTAACGTGTGCAGGCTCCCCAGCTGCTGGAACCCACTCGATGGGCAGCTGCCCACGGTGGGTAGGAGGTGGCATCTGTGGCCCGAGCTTGCGTTTCCCGCATGCCTAATGATGTTGAGCATTTTTTCATATGCTGGCTGCTCATTTGTATCCTCAGAGGAGCCCTGGGGGCATCCGGGTTTGAAACCACCAGCTGGTCCACGGGAGAAAGACCAGGCTTTCTACTCCTGTATCGAGTTCCAGTCTGGGACACTCAGAGGTGTCCTGTAGGGCCACTAGGAATCGGTAGGAGCAAGACATGTTTATTTATTCATTCAAATGCATTGCTTCGCTTCCGGTGGTACAGGATGCTGGGCCTCAAAGACAGAAGAGCAGCTCTGGCAGGTTCTGATCTCACAGCTGACAGAGGAGCAGCTCAGGGGAAAGAGCTAGAGATGAACTGCTGGATGATTTTTCTTTCATTTTTACAAGCGTCCTTTCTTAAATGTACAGTAGGCCCCAAGACAACACTTCACATTCTGTCAGTTACAGCAGGGCATCTGATGTGTGCACAGGAATGGGATCAATGGTCATTGCTGCCTCAGTCACTGTGTCAGTCTGGGTAGACCAGAGAAACAAATTCATAGACACTTGTGTATCAGAGAGAGTTTGGGTTTTTAAAACATTTTTTTGCTTTGTCTTTAATCTTTTTCAAAATCATTTTATTGGGAGCTCGTACTCTCAGTAAGACCCTCGTCTCAGTCTTGTTAGGTGGCTTTCAAAAAAGGTGGGTACTTCCTGTGCCATGGAAAACAATGGTTTTGAGGTCAGGGCTGAAATCCAATTTTTAACAAAATTCAGGTGGACATCTTCCCCTATCACTAAAGCCTGCCAACCCATTCCTGGGAATGCTGCCCAGCCCGCAGAAAACTAGTGTTCAGATGGCCGGAGCATATTAAGGACAGTCACCAGGATCTCGGAGATGAACTCAAGGCAGAGATCCACTCAGAGGAGCCTGGTGCCCCAAGGGGTAATCTTAGAGAAGGACCATGCCAGAGGCTTATCAGTAAGAGATTTTAAGGCAATGGGAACCTGTATTGGGAGGAAAAGGCCAGCCCCCACACACTGGCTTGCTCCTGGATGCAGACAACTCGGCACCTCGGCCCGAGATCCCCTGCACCGGCTCCCACGTTCTGCGTCATCGGCCTTTAGCCATGTGGCTCTGGAGTTCTAATGTTGGTCATTTGTTTTTAATTGGAAGTGACAACAGTGGTTTTCCATTTCAAGGGTTATGGTTTATGTCCATGTAATAATGATGGAATTTATATGATTTAGTGTTAATTTTGTTTTTTCTTCTAAGCCGAATTTCCCTCTGTATCGTGGGTTAGGGTTCATTGTGGGAGGTGGAGTAGGGTGTGGGGTTGGATTAAATTTTGGCGGCTCATTTTGGGGATTAATAGTGTTTCTAGTGTATTTAGGGGGAATACGAATAGTGTTCGGGTTATATGAAGGCCATAGCGACTGAGGGCTACCCCGTGACTGGGTATCAGGTGTTGCAGTTTTAGGTGCTTTCTGCTTAGGCTTATTTGTGGAAGTCTATTTGATTAACAATGAGAATTTGGCCTGGGGGTTATAAAGTTTAATGTTATTTAGTGGTGAAGAAATTGGTTATGTTCGGGATTATATAGGGGGTTCAACTTTATATAATGAGGGAAGCTATGTAATAGCTTTGGCTGGTTGGTGCTTGTTATTTATTGTAAAAGAAATTACTCGGGGCGTTAAATAATGACGGAAAATAAAAAGGACAGAAGATAAAATTGTACTATTCCTTTTTGGCTAGAGATTGAAGATGCTGCTAATATAGGGGAGTAGGAAATATTTCTGGGTTATCTTTTCTCTAGCCAAATGAGGTCAAGAGCAGAGGCGGCGAGTTCTGGGCTTGTTGGTAGACTTACCTGCCGGAAAGTATAACAAACACTTGATGGAAAGTAGCCTAGTATGTTTGAGAATTTATAGGCTATGGATGAATGAAAATATTTTAGGTTAAGGGTAAGGGAATTTAGTTCAATTGGGATAATAAGGCCTAAAAGAGTACCGGTTAAAGTGGTAACTTTCAGGTACAAGGTTATAGTTGTGAGGAAGAGGAGGAGGAGGAGGCTTGATGAGATGAGATAGCCGGCAAAAACACTTCCACCTGTAAGGCCTTTGACAGCACTGAGTACATCTTTATTGTTCTGTTGATGATGATTGGTGGAGGTCGAGGTTGGTCCAGGAAGGTGAAGATAATTCGAGTGCTACACACGGCTGTGACGAGGGCTGCAACGAGGGTTGAGAAGGGCGGGCTCGGGGCGCAGGTGTGTGATGTTAATAGCTTCAATCATCAGATCTTTAGAGTAAAAACCTGTAAGAAAAGGGGTCCCCCTGTTAATGCTAGGTCGACGGACTAAGTGGTAAAGATTTAGACAGGCCCCGTTTTTCTTGTTGTGTTCCTCATTCAGACTGAATAACAGAGGAGAGCATATAGACAGTGTAGCTTTAAGAAATGCACGTGTACAGATGGGAAGGAACGCAGGTGTGGCTGGTGAATCCCAATAGTTACCATCATCAAACCTAATTGACTTGGAGAATGCAGCAATGAACATCACTTGTGTGAGGGCACAAGTCCTCGACAGGCAATGCAGGACGGCCTGGTTGGATCATTTTCGAGGAGGCCCCGGCCAGCATCAGCCGGTGGGCTTGCGTCGCACTGCATGGGGCCGCCTTCTTTACATAGTGACTTTTCAGAGCGCACTCTTCCTCCTTCCACATGCATGGCTCGGGCAGGGGCTGTCCTACCTGAGACTTTCCCTGAGAAACTGACCACCACCCTCCAGCTCTGACCCTGCCCCTCCGGACTGCCTTTGGTTCTCTAAACGCAGACACTTTAAAGGACCATGTTGGGCGTCTCTCAAGGTTGCCCAAACTTCTATTTTGCTGTGGTGTACACTGAAGAGCAGAGAAGGGCTAGAGATGGAAAGATTGCCTCCAGAAAGGTACAGACTTAGACTTCTTGGCTTATTCAGTATATTTATACCAACATGCTACAAAATGTGTGTGTGTGTGTGTGTGTGTCTCTTTGAGTGTTGGAGGCTGGAGCTATGTTTGCCCTGCCCGCCCCCCGCCCCACCGCTATGTAACATGTGTACATGTTTAACGTAAGGGCCAGAAGCCGAGTCACCCCACACCCCTACCCCTTCCGCTCTCCTCAGCAGAGTAGGGCTGGGCCCTCCCTGAGGTGGCCAGGCGTCTCAGCAGTGGTCCTGTTAGTAGGCCCTCATCCCCTAGCTAGGACCTCATCACCTGTGGTCACATCATGTTTCCCACCTGCCCTGAGGAGACATCGCTCTAAACCAGATTGCCAGGGGTGCTGCACTAGGGTGGGGCTGCTCTGGGATGGTGGGGGGAAGGGGGGCAGAGTTGCTGGCCTGAACCCGGGAAGGAGAATGGGGTAGTGGGGCTGCACTTGCTCGTGGACAAGGTGGTCTGTCCTCCCAGCCACAGCCTCTTCACTTAGCAGGTGGGAAGCCCCCTTGCTCGGAGCCGTCTGCAGCAGCAGGATGGCGAGTGCTTCCTGGCCCCACGGTGTGTGCTGGCCCTCCCACGTGGGGGCCCACGCTCGCTCTCTCTCTCTCTTTCCTCTCACGCGCGCACACACCCCCTCCTCTCTCCACTGATACACACACCAAGGTCTGTTGGCTTTGGCTATTGGGCATTTATTGCAAACAGAAAATATGAGGTATGAGAAGCTGACCCAGACGCCCTGCCCACACTGAGGGAGATGGGACAATCTCCCTTTACCCTCTGCCAGGTCCCAGGCACTAGGGGCCCAAAGCAGAAGGGCCCCATGCAGTGAGGTAGCTGCATCTTATGCCCTGGCTTCAAGTAGAACTCCTCAGGGTTGCCCGATTCCCACACAGACTCCTGCTTTGGGGGGGTGGGGGGTGGGCGAGGAGAGGAGACTGACACACAGGTGCAGCCAGGCATCTAGGGGCACACCCAGTACCAGAACTCACACCCCAGCCTCTCGGGAAGGCACCTTCCTGCCCGCTATCCCAGACGGCGGTGGGGGAGTGGGTGGCCGTTGGAGGAAGCCTGGCGGGGCAATGCGGGGCAGGGCAGGTCAGGTTGGTGGTCACTGCTGCTCCAGACAGTCCTCGGTCACGCCCTGGGCAGCCAGCTCAGCTAGCACGTTCTGCAAGTAGTTGGGGTCGGGGTAGCCGTGGCCTGTCATGTTGCGGTCCATCTCCGTCTTGTGGTGGATCTCGTTCCAGACCACAGTGTCCGTCTCGCCCGTGGTGCTAGACGTCCCCACAGTGAAGATTAGCCGCCTCTTCCAGGCCACCTTCAGGAGCTCCAGAACCTGCGGGCGGAGGACAAGGGTGGTGAGGCGTCCAGCCTGAGCTGGGGAAGAGATGCAGTCTGCCTGTAGCCACACACACACACCCCCAACCCAATCTCCTAAATCATGTTTCCCCAGGGATGAGGATGCCCCTAACCAAATGCCCTGACAGTCGTGTGCAGGGGCTGCGGGCTTCTGGCCTTCTCTCCATGGGTGCAACCTCAGTGGCCTCATCACACTCAACACTGTGGGCCATGCGGGGAGCCCAGCCTCTGGCTGTAGGCCTCACCCACCCCCAAAACCCCAGGAACTACATCTGCCTACCCAATAGCCCAATAGAGGCTCATACTACTCAACCTGCTGGAGACAAGACTGGGTTCCACCCACTCCTGCCCCTGCCCAAGTCCCTGAGGCGCAAAGCTAGGACCTTCCAGGGTCCATCTTGGATGCACTCCTTGGTGGAATCTGGGTCTTCCAAGCCCCTCCCATTCTTACTGTGTGCTCAGCCTGCACTCATGGCCGCCACCTATCCCCCCACCCCGGCTTCACACAGCCACTTAGAATGAAACCGCCCCTGCTCCCACCCCCAGGCTTTAGCCCTGCCATCCTGGACTCCAGCCCTCAGCTGGCCTCTAGGGCCCTTCTGGAGGGCAGCTCCAGGTGCAGACTCCACTGCTCAGGAGCCTCCATCACGTCACTCGGTTCTCACTGGCTGGGAGCATGGAAGCTCACCCACCCATGGGGCTGCTGGGAGAGTCTCCTCACTAGAGCCCCTGGCCAAGTCCAGGGACGGAGCAGTGTCCTAGGTTCTGGCTTGGAAAGAAGGCCTCCGAAGATGAAGTCCCCAGAGGCCAAACCACAGCAGGGCAGGTGCCAGTCCACCCGAGGGCCTCCTGACCAAAGGGAGAAGAACCACAGGCAGAATGGGATAACAGTGACAGCGACACTCTAGGGCCAAGAACCCTGCCATCCCCACCCTCCAAAAAAGCCAAGAAACCAAGAAGGGGAGGGAGACACAGAAGGCCCTTCCCCAAGCTCAGCGTGAGCGCAACCCCTGCACATGTCCAAGTCCCAGTTCTGGCTCAGCCTCCAGAGGGAGATGGCTGCGGTGGGGGGAGCCAACACCGCCAGTGTCCCAGCTCCCAGGGTGCCGGGCAACAGGTGCCAGGGCAGGATGCAGGAGGGCGAGGGCCCCAGCACAGCGGGTTCTCCTGTCACAGCACAGAGGGCAGCCTGGCCAAGGCTCTTCCCACACCTCAGCCTGCTCTGCACTCTACGCAAATGGCTGCCACAGGATACCTTCCCAGAGAGAGGGGTCCATTCTGACCCACCAACAGAAACAAGCTCCAGGGCAGGCCTTACCTTGCGGCCCTGGGCGCTGTCAGGAAGGTAGCACTGGCGGGGGAAACCCCTGGCAGTGAACGGCTTTCCAGGGTTGGGGTGCTCAGGGCCCTGTAGAAGCACAAAGAGCAGGGATGAGCGGGGTTGAAGAGGGCTTGCTCGGGCCTGGCCGTAGGGGCGCCGGACACCAGCAACAGCCCGTCTGCCTGACTGGAGCCCATTCTTACTGAATGGGACCAAACCAGCTCCCACCTGAAATCCCAGCCCCTGCAGGACCCCACGGAAGCCTCACTTCCACCCGCAACCACCCGGCCGGGAGAGCCTTGGAGTAAGCCCTCCAGAGGCTGAGGCCATCTTCTCCTGGACACCGGCTGTTGGACCTATGGGGGTCTTCCTGAGTGGCGGGTGGTGTTCCCCCTCTCCCTGACACACAGACACAGAACACCCAGGGACGTGGGAATACGCAGCAGCAAACCAGAAGGATGAGGTGTGGGGATGGTGGGCAGCTCAGGCTTCTGACCCTGCCACATGACATGGTGACATCTCCCACGTGGGCTGTAGCCCTGCCTGACATGTACTCACTGTGACGTGGAGCCTTGGAGAGAAGTGGAGTAAAGGGGGGCGGGGGAGGCATGTGACTCAGAATAGGTACCTGGGCAGGTACAGGTTCCTGGTCCTGTAGCCTCACGTCTTCTCCAACCCTGTCCCAGGCTCTGAGATCAACCTGGGCCCCAGGAAGGAGACTGGAGGGCCAGGGCTCCTCTGTTGCTGACATCCAGACTCTGCCACCCAATCCTGTGGGTCTGTCACTGGACCACAGGGATCCTGACTCTGCGAGCCACCCACTGTTCTGGGCTCCCCCACTCCACTCCAACAAGGACTCAGGGCTCAGCTCTGAGAGACTGGGAGCTGGAGTCAGGGTGGGTGGCAAGGGTATGGAGGAGGGCAGAGGAAAGCAACAGGTGACTGCAGACAGGCAAAATCAACAAATCCGAATGTTACAAAAGGCAGGACAATGGCTTTCCCCCAGCCCTGTCTCTGCCCCAGCCACCTGGGCCACTGGCTGCTGTGAACAGGGACAGTGGCCCCAGAACAGGAGCTGGCTTCCCCAGTCACTACAGCCGCTGCTGGCACAAAGAAAGAACCCCCAGCTTTGACCAGAAATCAACAAGGCAGTACCCACCCACACCCAGGTACTGTCGGTTGGACGCCTACTGCCATTGCTACAGACCAGTGCTTCTCAACCTTCCTAATGCTGCGACCCTTTCATACAGTTCATGTTATGGTGACCCCCAAGCATAAAATTATTTTCGTTGCTACTTCAGAACTGTCATTTTACTACTGTTATGAATCGGACGACCCCTGTGAAAGGGTCAATCAATCCTCAAAGGGGTCATGACCCACAGGTTGAGAACCGCTGCTACAGAGGAAGAGGCGGCTGTGCTCTGGAGTCTGCTCACACAGCTCCCGCCCTCCGTGTCTCTGAAAGCAACAGGACAGACCCAGCAGGGGTCAGCTCTGGTCTGTCTGCTCCCCTTCCAGAGGAAGCTCTGTGCAGCGGAGTCTTTAGTGGTGGCTATACCCATAGTCGGCATGCTTGGGGTGGGGGTGGAGGGCTCTCATCTCAGGCAGACTTCCCCAGGGGTCCACCTGGGGTGTGCCAGCACCTCCCTGCCTCACACGCTCAAGATGGCCTGTGCAGCGGCATCTACTCCCACAGTAAAGACTCCTGGTCTCGGGCACCACCCCAGAGCTCAGGTCTCTGAAGCAAGGATCTTGTGCATCTGTGTGGGCCTGCCTGCTCCCTTACAGGGGTGCCCAGGACTGCTGGCTGAGGCGACTGGTCTAGGGAGCAGTCATCTCGAGGGGAGGGTACACACATAACTAACTGGTTACTACTGGTTACTGGTTTCAAGTCTGAAACCAACAAGACTTGGTTGGTGTGGAGTGGAGTGGGGTGGGGGTGTCCCACGGCTTCCTAAAACAGAGGCAAGTCTGCCTGAGCTTCCCCTGAATGCCAATTCAGATGCAAGCAGCGCTCACAGGGCAGGAAGACAACTCCAGGCCATTCTGAGGGTAACACTGCTCTGAAGGGGATTTGCTGTGTGTGGGAAACAGAAGAGGCAGTAATAACTGGCGGGGGCGGATGGGGGGTGGGCTGTGCCCCCTGGAGGACAGACTGATTATCACACAATTATCTTGCCTGAGTAGCAGTGCTCCCTGGAGGACAGACTGACCACAGAACATTGTGTGCAGTGTTGTTATGAGAGATGACAGTTGAAAACACAAGATCTGGAACTTTCTGATCTCACTCTGACCAGGGAAGAAGGGGCTATCACAGAGGGTGAGGAAACAGGAAGCCTTCAGCAGAAGGTCCAGCCCACCCGAGTCTCTTGCAAAAAGTGGACAAAAGCATCAGCTTTTTGGAACTATCACTAGGAGCTGGAATTAAGCCGCGGGCAGAGGGACTGACACCTTGAGAAATTAGATGGGAACCAGCGGGGGCTGTCAGGTGGTGTCCTGGGGGTGGAGTAAGTCAGAGGTGGAGGAGCATGTGGTAAGACTCAAGCCTGTCATCAATGCTACGAAAGTGCACGTGTGGAAACTGCTGAATTGTGTGTGCTGCTGCTGGGTTTATTCTCACCAAACGACTCCAAGAAAAAAGGGAACTCCCCCGGCCCCCATGGTCCTGCCAGCCCTGTGCTCCACCACCTGGGAGCCCCCCTCAATGCCTCACACACACATGGGCACCCTAGTTATCTGGCCACTCAACACGTGTCCTGCTATCAGCTTGGTCTTTTGCCCAATAGAAGTGCAGCTAAGACAGCACCTCTTCCAGGAAGCCTTCCTTGGTTCAGGAAAGGACTGCTGTCACCTGTTCCCACATCCCTATGAGCCTGTCCCTATCCCTGTCCTACCCTACCTGGCCCTCCCAAGCCCATGCCTTAAGGGGACCTGGGAGCCTGACCCCGGATGTGTTCAGGGTCGAGGCTGTAGGACACCTGAGAGAGGTCCAAGGAGGCGCCATTGTGCTGGGGTCGCCATTACCTGGATGCCATGAGGAATGTTGTAAACTATCAGTATTGTCCCACAATCTTCGTGGCCGGGGAGAGACACCTGGAAGCGGAACACCTCCATCTTCCCGCGGGGCTGGGTCCCTGTTTTCTCTCCGTAGATTGTTTTGCAGGAAGGACACTGCAAACTCCCATCCTGAAACAAGGTAAGAGGGCAACAGACTGAGCTGGTGGGACCCAGAACATGGGGCAGTCAGTTTCAACGGGGAGGCAAGGCATGGGTCGCCCACAGCCACTGCAGGGGTCCAGCCAGGCCCCCCTCCGGGAAACGCTCCTACCCACAGATTCTGTCAAGAAGGATTTTGCACCAAACGCTTGGTATGTGATCTCCAGTAATGGGTTAAGGTTAGACAGGATGGTGAGGTGTGAGCAAAAGCCCCAGGAGTCTGAGAGCTAGTCACATGGAGGACCTGTGCAGATCTCACCGACGAGGCTCTGCTTGGCACAGGGCAGCCCAGGGATACTGTATAGGGGCCACAGCTTGACAGAAGTGCTGCCCAGTCCCGCTGCCTTGCCCCAAAGGGAAAGTGGCCCAGTACTGGCAGTGGTGCCTGAGTGGACCCTTCCCATGAGGCTGAGTCCCCTGGGCTCTGCAGCCTGGCTCCTCACCCTAGGGGACGCCAGACCCTAGACACATTTCCTGAGGCACGCTCCCCTCTCAGAGAGTGTTCCCACATCAGAGGAAGCACTTGGGACAGGTGATCAGAGGCCAGGACGGGGCTCTACTGCTCAGGGGGCCCAGACTCTAGGGGGCTGGAGTGATCAGCCCAGCTGGTTCTGTTCCTGAGGACGGGAGCAGGTCGGAGAGAGACAGCTGAACCTGGAGAAAGGATTTCAGGCAAGCTCCATGGCGGACAGGCTTTTGCCAAAGGGGTGATCCCACCGATGGCCCTCCCCGTGGCTGATGCCCAGCTTTCTACAGGACCAGGCTGTGCAGACAACATGGGGACAGCCCCAGGTGCAAGCACCTGGTTTCCATTGCAGTACATGGCCAGGAGGCAGAGCCGGTGGAAGGCATGGCTGCACTTGGTGAGGCGGCCCACAGCCACGGGTCCGATGTTCTTGCTGTCAGTCACATCGCCATAGCCGGATGCCACAGAGAGCTTCTCCATGCAGATGATGCAGTCCTAGAGGGAAACCACACAGGTGTGCTCACTGGCGCCGCCTAGGGGGAAGAGACTCCACCTGCCATGACGGCGCCAGGATTCCAGCAGCATTCATTCCAGAGTCAGCACAGATGAGTCCCCCAGGACTTCACTGCAGCAGCAGAGAAAGTAACACAGCCTGGTGGGGGTGCAGTACAGAGCAGGTGGGGACAGCAGGGGAAACGGGCTTCCCCACCCTGCGACAAAGTGGGCAAGCACAGGGCTACTGTTCCAGACTAAGGAGAAAGCTGGATGCTCCGAAGGGACAAGCACAGAGCAGGTGGACATGACTGAGGTGTAGGGCAAGACGGGAGGGGGTAGAGAACCACAGCCTGGAAGGGTCTGTCTCTGGCTGCCACTCCCAGGAGCGGGCCTTCATTGTGTGTGTCCCAGGGTCCTGCTGAGGGCTTGATGCAGGGAGACCACCACGCTCACATCTATGTGCTGGTGGTGTCTAGGGGGCTGGAGGCACCAGACAGAGCTGTGCTTGGTGGGCAGAGGGGCAGAGGGCCAGAGGGAGAGGAGGGAGACAGGAACTCGAGGAGGACTTCAGCCTCTGCATGCCACTCCTAGTCGCCCCGGCTCTTCTCAGGAGACAGATCAGTGCAGAGCCCTAGCTTCTGTGCTGCCCCTGCACCCCTACCAATTCTCCAGGATGTTGCATTCCCAAGGGAGTGGGCACTCAGGAGAGAGGGGCTGGGGTTCTGAAGCTGCCCCGGGGTCCACAAGGCCTGCTGATTATAGGAACCCTAATCAGTGCTCTTCAAAAGCACAAAGTTGGGTAGGCCTGGCAGCGGGCCCACCCAGGGTGCTTCCACGTAAGTCTGTGTGTGTATGGGGCAGGGCTCCTGCAGCCCTGCGCAGCCACAGTCCTAGATGACACAGGGAGGGCTGCACCCAGGCCTACACAGAGCCAGTGCTTTGCTGGGGACCACGGCTGCCAATGCAACACTAAGGCTGGAACACAAGTCTCAGGAGGCATGGTCCTGACTCCTAAGGGATCATGGGAAGCCTCTCCCCGAGCACAAGGCTGCCTTCCCACATGGACACCTACCTCATCTGGGGGAGGCTTCAGCTCCTCGGTGTAGTGCTTTATCACCTGCTCCGGTTCTGGCTTTGGGGGCCCTCCTAGGAGAGAGTGGAGGTGAGCACCCAGGAGCACCCACCGGAAGGCCAGGCCAGAGCCCAGACAGGGCCTGGAGAGTGAGCGGGCAAGAAGGCAGCTGTGCAGCAGGCCAGATGCTCCCAAGCCGCGGCCACGTCCATCTGTGGGCGCTCATGGCAGCCCAGAGCTGTGGAATGGGGCGGGCATGGAGCCCCACTCAGCTCAGAGGAGCCGCACTGTCTGCAGAGCGGCCGCCTGCTGGAAGCCAGGCCCAGGCCCTCCAGCAGGAACAGCTCTCTGGGGGAAGAGCCATTGCTGAGCCGGGATCAAGGGAACGGGTCCTGGCAGCAGCATCTCTTGAACGCCCGTCGTTCGTGTATGAAAGCCTCAGCCAGAGATGTCAGCTGGAGGAGCCAAGAGAGTCCAGCGTGCCAGTTCGTGGGCACCCTGATGCCAACCGCCCAGCCACGCTTCTGGCGTGTTGACTGAGAGGGGAGCTAGCCAGAGGATGCTGGGACTGGCAGGTGGGATGTCCAATGGGGACAGCTCCTGAAGGGTCTTGAATTCCACACCGAAGGGCTGGACTTATTCTGAAGGCCAGGGCACCTGCCCATCAGAATGAGGCCCTCCTTCAGCTTCCTTGTAAGTGGACCCGCTAAACGTCAGTCTGTCTTCGCTGTCGGAAAGACCCTTGCCCCGTCTTTGCAGACTATGGCTTCTCAGCCACACGCTGTCCCCCTCCTAAATTGAGGGATTCTGGGAAGTGGCCAAGAACGTGCACTCTGATGGCCCCCCAGAATCCCAGCCCCTCCCAGCCCCCCAGCTTCCCACTCCCACCCCTGGAATGCCCGCTTCCTCTGTGCACATGAGCATGGAGCTGGGTGAGTCCTAGGCCAGGTAGGGTTCTCCATGCCCCCCAATGTGGAAGGACCCCCTCCCTCCCTTTAGTGAGACAGGAAATGAGCAGTGGGGGCAGTGGCAGAATCATAAGGAGGGCAGTGAAGCTCATGCAGGAGCAGGGGGTCATGGGCCAGAGGCACAGCCCTGAGGAAGCAAGTCTACACAGCAGCTCCTTCCCCTCCCAGCCCAGGGGGCTTCCGCTGGACCCCAGGCCCATAGCTGACTCCCAGGTGTGGGCTGCAAGGGGAGGTGGCCCGTATGGTTCAGGGTAGAGGCTGGGTGGGGGACCTGGAGACGATGCTGGCTTTCCTGCATGACCCAATCCTGTCACCTTGAGGTGTCCGTTCCCTCCTCTATGAAGGGGACACAAGGTTCTTACACCAAGGCTGGAATGGCCACACAGGTCCGAGCGGTCACTACCTGAAAGGCAGCTGCAGGCAAAGGACATCCATGCACGCACACGCTCCCAGGACCCTGACCCTAGTCATGGCGCTGAGATGCCAGACCACTACCCACTGACCACTGGGACTGGGTGGCCATCCTGCAAACTGGGCAGCTCTAAGATAAGCACTGAGAAAACCTGGTGGCTACAGAGCAGAGTGCAGGACCCCATTTCCCCAGGATGGTCTGTTTCTTGTGATGACGGCAGGCTCAGTCGCCTGTAAGCACTTGAGGAGCTCCCACTAGCCACTTTCTCAGAAGGGGTCAGCCGGGTGACTGCCAGCTGCTCCATGAAGGAACTGCCAGCCTGTGTTCTTCCTGGACAATACGGGGCCGCAGGGAGCCACCTGCCTGCCTGCCAGAGGTCCTGTCCTCACATCTGGGCAGAGCCCTGGACTGGGGCCAGGAGCACGAGGACCACCCCAATGGCTGCCTGAGTGAAAGCTGGCCTCCCTGAGCCCCCTCCTCCATTGCAGGCAGGGTGGGTGCCAGAGAAGCTGATGCCCACAGGGAGAGAAGAGGAGAGGCCATCGCTGGGAGTCAGGGGCTGCCAGAGGGGGAGGGGGCATTTCCTACTCTGTATGTCATTACTCACAGGGTTGCTATGAGTCAGAATCATCTCAATGCCAGCAAGTATGTTGATTTACACAACCAACCTGCTTGGGGGGTGGGGGGTGGGGGTGGCGCAGGGGGCACCAGCTTGGCAACTTGAGTCTCTGCTGGAGCCAAGACAGGCTTGCAGGCCCCAACATCCCATTCTGTCCCAAGGCCATGCCCTACTCAGGTAGCATAGAGAGTAATTGCTAGCTCTGGGCCTTGTTCAGCAAGAACGTCCTCAAAGGGCCTCCAGCTGGAGGCCAGACAGGGCTGGCGATGAGGCCAGGAGGATGAGCCTACCTTGTCCCAATGAGATACACTGGCCCCAGTTGAAGGGACAGAGCTGCCTCTCCTATGTGCAGATAGTGGCCAGCGCAAGGCCTGGCCCGACACCTTGGTGACTGTCTAAGCTGTGCCAGGAAGAGGAAGCCTGCACCTGGGTGTGAAGTGGGCCAGCCCAGCTGCAGGGAAGGCAGGAAGAAGGGGCTGAAGGGCCACTGCTGCCCGAGGCCACACAGAGAGAGAAGGGCGCAGGGCGAAGGAAGGGCAACTGGCGAGGGGGCTCAGAGGCAGCAAGATGTGGAAGAGGCTGAGCAGAGGCTGCAGAGAGTGCTTGTGAGCAGCAACTACCTTTCATGGACATTTTCCTCAATCTCTTAACTGAGCTGTGGCTTTTAGAGGTCAGACGGGAGGCGGGAGGACTGGCGGGCTGGGGTGCGCGGCTAAGACACACAGGGAGTCCAATGGCTGACATCAGAATACTCGTCATGCCTACACGGGTGCGAGATCAGACATGCAGAGGGGGAGAAACATTAGAGGGGTTGTTCAGCAGGTGACATTCGCAAACCCAGCCGAGTCCAAGGAGGCAGTTGGTGAGAGGCCACCAGGCCCGACACAGCTCCCTGAGGACGTAGGCCACTCTAGGCTGCCAGGGCCAAGCTTTACCAATGGGGCTGAGCTGCAGGCTGGGAACGCCGGAGCCTGCAACCTGCCTGGCACTTGGTGGAGCCTTGGTCTAAAGACCCCAGGTGTCGGTACAAGCAAGTCATCAGCAACGTTCAGGGCATGCAGCGGGGCAGGGCCATGGCGTCAATGGACAGGGAACAGAATGCCACTCCAGAAAGCCCATTGCAGAGTTGAGGGTGGCATCTTCCCGAGCGAAGTGCCCGCAGAGGAGCCAAAGGGCTTTCCTGGAGGAACAGCCCCATAGACAGCACGGAGCCCAGGGCTGAGCAGCCATCAGGAGCTCACCCGCCCTTTTCCTCCCTAGGCGCCCTCCTGGTCACACTGCCTCCTCCCGGGCACTCGAAGCTAAGAGTGCTCTATCTGGCCTGCAGCATGTCACAGCTTTCAGGGATAGCCAGTGTTCCACACACCCATGGGACCCTCTCCCCATACTGATGACCCAGGGGGCTCGTGGCCACACCCTCTGCCTACCCTGCTACCCACACACCATGACTTGCCCCAACTGTCCACTCATCATGTAGTTTAGCCCCAAAGCAGGCCCCACCCTCCGAGAAATGGAGCCCGAGTCGGCTCCTCATAGGGCCTATTTCTACCAGGGCAGCACTGTCTCCACCAGCTGACAGAGAAGGGCAAGGAACCTGGCAGCCAGCCAAGCCAGTTCTCTCTGGCCTCCACAGGAAGAACAAAAGTTCCCCCCTCCCTCCTACAAACCTGGCGAGTGCAGCCAGCCCAGGGACAGCCATGCAGACCAACAGCCTGGGCAGCAGGTGTGGGCTGGGCCCACTGAGGGCTTAGTCGAAGCAGCAGCAATGCCACCACCAGGCTGCTCCTGGGCGCAAATGTGGAGCTGAGGTCAGGTACAGAGTGACAGGTAGGTGGAGCGAGGGAAAATGGAACCAGGCACCTTTTTACTCAGAGACCCTAGGCCTGGGCTGCTTCCCCAAGGCCTCCAGTCCCCGGACTCTGAGTGCTCCTCGGCTACCACCTTCCCAGCAGGCCCACAAGGGTATGAACTGGGCTCCTGGAAGGCAACCTCTCCTCAAACCATGGCAGCCTGGTTGTGGGATTATAGAGACTTTCCCCGGCTTTGTCTCCCCCAAAGATATGCCAAACATTAGAGGCTATTTGCCAACACATGGTGGGAGCTCAGATACTTAGACATCCTCCCAGAAGGCAGTTAGTTGCCGGACCACAGTCTGGTCCCACCACAGGTAGGGCCCACTCCCTGCTGTTAAGGACAATGGGCTACTTCTC